ATGGGCTTGCGGTGGGCGGGGAGGACGCATGCGAATTGTACAATTGGGATCTTCGGCGGAGCTCCTATAGGGTCACACAACGTGTGAGGTGTGTGTGTGTGTGTGTGTGTGTCAAAATGGGGCCTGCGGTGGGCGGGGGGGGCGCATGCGAACTGTGCCACTGGGACCTTCGGCGGAGCTCTTATGGGGCCACGGAACGTGTGAGGGGTATGCCTGCGAACTGTGCCACTGGGACCTTCGGCGGAGCTCCTATGGGGCCACGAAGCGTGTGAGTGGTGTGCTCAAATGGGCTTGCGGTGGAGGACGCATGCGAACTGCGCCACTGTGACCGGCGGAGCTCCTATGGGGCCACGAAGCGTGCGAGGGGTGTGCCAAATTGGGTTTGCGGTGGGCGGAGAGGACGCATGCGAATTGTACCACTGGGACCTTCGGCGGAGCTCCTATCGGGCCAGGAAGCGTGTGAGGGGCGTGCCAAAATGGGCTTGCGGTGGGCGGGGAGGGCGCATGCGAACTGCGCCACTGGGACCTTCGGCGGAGCTCCTATGGGGCCACGAAGCGTGGGAAGGGTGCGCCAAAATAGGCCTGCGGTGGGCGACGAGGACGCATGTGAATTGTGCCACTGGGACCTCCGGCTGGGCTCCTATGGGGCCACGAAACGTGTAAGGGGTGTGCTGAAATGGGCTTGCGGTGGGCGGGGAGGACGCATGCGAATTGTCCAATTGAGATCTTCGGCGGAGCTCCTATCGGGCCACGAAGCGTGTGAGGGGCGTGCCAAAATGCGCCTGCAGTGGGCGGGGGGGGCGCATGCGAACTGTGCCACTGGGACCTTCGGCGGAGCTCCTATGGGGCCACGAACCGGGTGAGGGGTGTGCCAAAATGAGCTTGCGGTGGGCGGGGAGGACGCATGCGAACTGTGCCACTGGGACCTTCGGCGGAGCTCCTATGGGGCCACGAAGCGTGTGGGGGGGTGCTAAAATGGGCTTGCGGTGGGCGGGGAGGACGCATGCGAACTGTGCCACAGGGACCTTCGGCGGAGCTCCTATGGGGCCACGAAACATGAGGGGTGTGCCAACTCTGCCTGCGGTGGACGGGAAGCACGCATGCGAACTGTGCCACTGGGACCTTCGGCGGGGCTCCTATGGGGCCACGAACCGTGTGAGGGGTGTGCCAAACTGGGCGTGCGGTGGGCGGGGAGGACGCATGCGAATTGTGCCAGACCTTCGGCGGAGCTCCTATGGGGCCACGAAGCGTGTGAGGCGTGCCAAAATGGGCCTGCGGTGGGCGGGTGGGGGGGGGGGGGACGCATGCGAAGTGTGCCACTGAGACCTTCGGCGGAGCTCCTATGGGGCCACGAAGCGTGCCAGGGGTGTGCCAAAATGAGCCTGCGGTGGGCGGGGAGGGCGCATGCGAACTGTGCGACTGGGACCTTCGGCGGAGCTCTTATGGGGCCACGAAGCATGAGGGGTGTGCCAACATGCCTGCGGTGGACGGGAAGCACGCATGCGAACTGTGCCACTGGGACCTTCGGCGGAGCTCCTATGGGGCCACGAAACGTGTGATGGGTGTGCCAAAATGGGCTTGCGGTGGGCGGGGAGGACACGTGCGAATCGTGCCACTGGGACCTTTTGCGGAGCTCTTATGGGGCCACGAAGCGCGTGAGGGGTGTGCCAAAATGAGCCTGCGGTGGACGGGGGGGGGCGCGTGCGAATTGTGCCACTGAGACCTTCGGCGGAGCCCCTATGGGGCCACGAAGCGTGCCAGGGGTGTGCCAAAATGGGATTGCGGTGGGCGGGGAGGACGCATGCGAATTGTCCAACAGGGACCCTCGGCGGAGACCCTATGAGGCCACGAAACGTGTAAGGGGTGTGCCAAAGAAGGGCCTGCCGTGGGCGGGGAAGACGCATGCGAATTGTGCCACTGCGACCTTCGGCGGAGCTCCTATGGGGCCACGAAGCGTGCCAGGGGTGTGCCAAAATGGGCCTGCGGTGGGCGGGGTGGACACGAAACGTGTGAGGGGTGTGCCAAAATGGGCTTGCGGTGGGCGGGGAGGACGCATGCGAATTGTACAATTGGGATCTTCGGCGGAGCTCCTATGGGGCCACGAAGCGCGTGAGGGGTGTGCCAACATGGGCCTGCGGTGGGCGGGGAGGACGCATGCGAACTGTGCCATTGAGATTTTCGGCGGAGCTCCGATGGGGCCACGAAGCGTTTGAGGGGTGTGCCAAAATGGGCCTGCGGTGGGCGGGGGGACGTATGCGAACTGTGCCACACGGACCTTCGGCGGAGCTCCTGTGGGGCCACGAAGCGTGTAAGGGGTGTGCCAAAAATGGGCCTGCGGTGGGCGGGGAGGACGCGTGCGAATTGTGCCATTGAGACCTCCGGCGGAGCTCCTATGCGGCCACGAAGCGTGCGATGGGTGTGCCAAAATGTGCATGCGGTGGGCGGGGAGGACGCATGCGAATTGTGCCACTGGGACCTTCGGCGGAGCTCCGACGCGGCCACGAAACGTGTGGGGTGTTCCAAAATGTGCCTGCGGTGGGCGGGGAGGACGCATGCGAACTGTGCCACTGTGACCTTCGGCGGAGCTCCTATGGGGCCACGAAAACTTTGAGGGATGTGCCAAAATGGGCTCGCGGTGAGCCGGGGGGGGGAACGCATGCGATTTGTGCCACAGGGACCTTCGGCGGAGCTCCTATGGGGCGATACTTGTGAGGGGTGTGCTGAAATGGGCTTGCGGTGGGTGGGGAGGACGCATGCGAATTGTACCACTGGGACCTTCGGCGGAGCTCCTATGGGGTCACACAACGTGTGAGGGGTGTGTCAAAATTGGACCTGCGGTGGGCGGGGGGGACGCATGCGAATTGTGCCACAGGGACCTTCGGCGGAGCTCCGATGGGGCCACGAAGCGTGTAAGGGGTGTGCCAAAAGGGGCTTGCGGTGGGCGGGGAGGACGCATGCGTATTGTGCCACTGGGACCTTCGGCGGAGCTCCTATGGGGCCACGAAGCGTGTGAGGGGTGTGTCAAAATTGGACCTGCGGTGGGCGGGGGGGACGCATGCGAATTGTGCCACAGGGACCTTCGGCGGAGCTCCGATGGGGCCACGATACTTGTGAGGGGTGTGCTGAAATGGGCTTGCGGTGGGCGGGGAGGACGCATGCGAATTGTACCACTGGGACCTTCGGCGGAGCTCATATGGGGTCACACAACGTGTGAGGGGTGTGTCAAAATTGGACCTGCGGTGGGCGGGGGGGACGCATGCGAATTGTGCCACAGGGACCTTCGGCGGAGCTCCGATGGGGCCACGAAGCGTGTGAGGTGTGTGCCAAAAGGGGCTTGCGGTGGGCGGGGAGGACGCATGCGAATTGTGCCACTGGGACCTTCGGCGGAGCTCCTATGGGGCCACGAAACGTGTGAGGGGTGTGCCAAAATGGGCCTGCGGTGGGCGGGGAGGACGCATGCGAACTGTGCCACAGGGACCTTCGGCGGGGCTCTTATCGGGCCAGGAAGCGTGTGAGGGGTGTGCCAAAATGGGCCTGCGGTGGGCGGGGAGGACGCATGCGAATTGTGCGGGCCACGAAACGTGTGGATGAGGATGATGCTGCAGATGATGATGCTGATGGATGATGGGTGATGGTGATGATGGTGACGATGGTGCGGGGAAGGGGGAGATGATGATGATGATGATGATGATGATGATGATGATGATGATGATGATGATGATGATGATGATGATGATGATGCTGATGATGCTGATGCTGATGATGCTGATGATGCTTATGCTGATGCTGATGCTGATGCTGATGCTGGTGCTGGTGCTGGTGCTGGTGCTGGTGCTGATGCTGATGCTGATGCTGATGCTGATGCTGATGCTGGTGATGGTGATGGTGAGGGTGAGGGTGATGGTGATGGTGATGGTGATGGTGATGGTGATGGTGATGATGATGATGATGATGATGATGATGATGATGATGATGATGCTGATGCTGATGCTGATGCTGATGGTGATGGTGATGGTGGTGATGGTGATGGTGATGGTGATGGTGATGGTGATGGTGATGGTGATGGTGATGGGAGGGGAGGAGGGGGAGGAGGAGAGGAGGAGGTGGGACGCGGGGCGCTGTCTCTTCAAAACGAGGACCCAACACCAGAGGATGGTTTGGAAAAGAACCAAAACCAACACCGAAATAGTTTTGCACGCCAGGCACCCCTGCGATGAATCGACAGGTGGCGACGGATCTAGAGGCCTTCGGCCCAAAACGCCACCATGCCTGGGTTGCAGGTCGGAGGCCTCCTGGATGCCTGTGGGGCTCTCTTGGGAAGCCTCCCGGATGCCTCTTGGAGGCTGTTTTGGTAGTATTTCGGAGTGTTTTGGGGGCGTCTTGGGGCCTGATTTGGGCCACCTCAGGGGTGGGGGGATATTGGAGACATCTTGGCAGATGGCTCAAATTGTCAGCTCGCGTTCCGCATTTTAGGCCCGTCTTCGGGGCCTCTCGGGCCCCTCTTGGGGGCTCTCGGGCTGTTCTGGTGCGATCTTGGGGCGTCTCTTGGGCTATATTGGACGCTCTGAAGACCGAAGAGGCGGCAATGCGAAAGCAATACAAGAAAACAGCATTTTGACGATTTTGGCCTTTTGGGCCGCCCTCCAGGGCCTGACGGCCCGAGAGGCGCCCATTAGAGCTCCAGGACGGTCCCCGGGGGCCATCTGAAACCATCTTGGACACGCCCGCCCCGAACAACGCGCTCTGGGCCTATTGAAGGGTCACGCGGGGACCTCCTGGGAGCGCCCAGTAGCGCCCGAGAGCGCACGGAACTCCAGGCTGTGGGCCCCTGGCAGAATATGTGCTGAATTCAATGGGGCCTGAGGACACTCCAACTCGTGCTTCAGGGCACGGCCTCCCTCGATTACAACCCGCACCAGCATCGTGGGTCGGCCTCCCTCGATTGAATGGACCCGTGGTATTGGTGGTGGAGGTGGTGTTAATGCGTCGCCCCCCCCCAGGTTTGGCTGATTGGGTCCAGCTTGCTTTTATTGCTTGGACTGGGTATCTACCTTCACTTGACATTCGCGTGCCGGGATCTGACAGCAACAAGCCTAGGCTTCGAGCCAGAGAATCAGACGGGCGTCTGGGTGAACGCGACTGCGCAGCTGCCGTGGACAGCAGCAAAGCTGTGGCTTCCGCGGATGTGTGATTTTCCCACAACCGGCATTTGTGACGATTTTGTGGACGAGGAGGGTGCACGGGCTCAGGAGCAGTTCGTGCTTATAAATTTCACAGAGCGGGATCTTGGCATTCGAGAGAGACTACCGTGGTCGCCGAGCCCGCTCGCGTATCAGGGATTCGGGTGCTGGTCAGAAGGCAGCGGTGACTTCTTCTTCAATGGAATATTGGCTGCCTTTGCGATGGCCGCAGGCGCTTCAGCCCTGCTGATGTCCAGCGTAGTCTTCGGATTGAAGAGGACTGGGAACAGCTGCTGTGGAAGGCCTCTGGAAGAAAAGCCTCTGGAAGACGTATAGGCGCACTTGTGGAACGGCCCGATATGATGGTTGGCTTTGCTGACACCTGATGGACTGCCGATCGGCTGGCTTCTTCTTGGCAGTGGCCTGCTCCCGGAGGCGAAAGAAGAGGAGTTGGAGAGCAGCAGAAGTTGGAGGAGGGAGGATGGGGTTCGCATATGTACTGGTCTGCGTAAGCATCCTCTTATTCGCCATTACGTTTACCTCACCTTCCATATTCCAGTTCATTAGTTTGACCACCAAGGAAGGAGAAGGAGGAGGAGGAGGAGGAGGAGGAAGATGAGGACGAGGAGGAGGAGGAGTAGGAGGAGTACGACAAGGTGGAGGCGGAGGCGGAAGGGAGGATGAGGAAGGGAGTGGAGGCGGCATGAGAAGGAGGGTGGAGGGAACAGGAGCGATGGCGATGGTGAGGATGATGATGCTGATGATGTTGATGATGATGATGATGATGATGATGGTGATGATGATGACAGTGGTGATGATCATGATGGTGATGATGGTGGTGATGATGGTGATGCTGATGATGACGACGATAACGATGGCGATGGCGACGACGATGATGATGACGATGATGATGCTGATGACGATGAAGATCATGATGCTTATGATGATGATGATGATGATGATGATGATGATGATGATGTTGATGCTGATGACGATGCTGATACTGACGATGGTGTGCTGCTGCTGATGACAACGGTGATGATGATGACGATGCGATGATAACTGCGATTAGTATGATCGTGCTGATGGTGACGATGATGCTTGTGATGATGATGATGATGATGATGATAATGATGGTGGTGACGAGGACGATGATCGTGCTGATCCTGATGTTGATGTTGTTGTTGATGATGATGACTATGATGGTAGTGCTGATGGTGAGTGTGCTGACGCTGACGGATGATGTTTTGTTGGTGTGATGATGGCGATGATACGGGTGGTGGTAATGATGATAAAGATGACGACGATGTTGGTGATGATGCTGATGATGAGGAGGAGGAGAATGAGCATCATGATGATGGTGCTGCTGACATTGTCGCAGATGGTGCTGATGCTGATGCTGCCAATGCTGATGATGGTGGTGATGCTGCTGCTGATGATGATGGTGATGATGCTGCTGCTGAAGATGAAGATGAAGATGAAGATGAAGATGATGATGATGATGATGATGATGATGATGATGATGACGATGATGATGATGCTGATGATGATGATGATACTGATGATGATGATGATGATGATGATGATGATGATGATGATGATGATGATGATGATGATGATGATGATGATGATGATGATGATGATGGTAGTGGTGGTGGTAGTGGTTGTGGTGGTGGTGGTCGTGGTCGTGGTGGTGGTGATGGTGATGGTGATGGTGGTGATGATGCTGATGCTGATGATGGTCATTGTGAGAAGGAGGAGAAGGAGGAGGAGGAGGCAGAAGAGGGGAGGGGAAGGGCGGCTGGACGGAGGAGGAGGGAGGAAGATGAGGAGGAGGAGGAGGAGGAGGAGGGAGGCGCACTCCCCCCCCCCTCGCCCCCTCGGGGCACACATTGGAGCCCTGGCTTGATGCGTGCAGGCTGGACCATTGCCTACAATGATAGGTATCCCCGGTCGATCACGATAAGGCCTGTTAAGAGGCAGGGTTCGGAGTGGCACGCTGACTGGTAGTGTACATATAGCTCGAACGTCGGACCCGCCTGGGAGCCTGGGAAGTAGCAGCGGTAGTATGAGAAAGAGGAGGAAGACGAGGAGGTTGATGGGGAGGACGTGGGGGATGCAGAGGAGGACGAGGCATGAGGATGTCGGTGGAGGATACGGAAGAGGAACCGGAGCGGGGGTGGGACTTTAGATGATGAGGAGGAATGCTAGTGACAATGACGATGACGATGATGCTCATGATGATGGTACTGAGTTTGGTGGTAATGATGGCAAAGGTGCGGCTGCTGCTGCTGCTGATGATGGTGATGCTGGTGGGCGTGCTGAGTACATGATTACGTGATGTTGGGGAGGATTAAGATGATGTGGATAAGGAGGAGGGGCACTGATGCGGGAGGAGGCGGGGAGGTGAAGGAAGAGGCGGAGTGGGGAGGAAGAGGAAGGATGAGAAGTAGAAGGTGGAGGAGGATGAGAGGTTGGAGGGGAGGTGTGTATAGGGGGAAAGGATGAGGAGGCGGCGGCAAATGAAGATGAGGCTGAGAGATGAGGAGGTGGGGGGAATGAGGGGGAGGAGGCGGAGGAGGAGGAGGAGGACGAGGGCGAGGAGGAAGAACAAGTACGTGGAGACAAGTGGAGGAAAACATAGAGGGGGAGAGTGGATAAGGAAAGAAGAAGAAGATGAGGAGGAGGAGGTGGAGGTGGAGGGGGGAGGAGGTGGAGAAGGAGGGCGTCCAAGGGCACGGAGGGAAGCGTAGGATGGAGGCAGAGGAAGAGGAAGGGAGGACGAAGGATGTGGATGAGTGGCGCTGAGTAGGACACGGGGGACGAGGATCAGGAGGATGAGGAGGTAGAGGACCAGGCGGAGGTGGAGGAGGCGGGGGAGAATGAAGGGAAGGAGGGAGGGAAGGAGGGAGGAGGAGGGAGGGAGGCAGGGGGGGTGGGAGGAGGAGGAGGAGGAGAAGGAGGAGGAGAAAGAGCAGGGATGATGATGATGATGATGATGATGATGATGATGATGATGATGATGATGATGATGATGATGATGATGATGATGATAAGATGATGATGAGGAGGAGGAAGCATTGACGGGAGCAGCCTGCCGATGATCTATTGCACTCGCTGTGGGGTTACAGCATGGGGAGGGGCACCAAGCTCCAACAGCCATGCCACAGTGAAGACCACCGCAGGCGTCGGCAAGCCAGGGGCTCTCTTGCACCTGGTCCCCCCCGGGTCATCAGTTAGCTACGAAGTCTACAGCGGGGTGAAGTGCCTTGGACCGCCTTCACTTTCTCAAGAGTCACCCACTTGGGGTGATGATTAACGGTCTAAACGTCCAGACCGTTACGCCCAGCCCCCATCTAGGGTGATAGATCGCAGGGAGTGGGGCGGACAGAGGAGGGAGGGGATGAGGAGGTGCGTTGGTTTCTGCGTCCCGTTACAGACCCCCTTCCTATCCCAGGGGACCTGCGAAACGATACTCTTCATACTTTGTCGGGGTATTGTCTGCGCGCCGGTGCTCCGGATATGTCGTCGGAACATTTTCTGCGAGCTAGTGCGAGGGACCTGGCAAATGTCACGGAGTCGGCGCGCCAACCGCACGCCACGCGTGCAGCTGCAACCGGAGCGTCCCGAGGAGAGCGTGTTTGATGTGAACCCAGCCCCCGTGAATTGTTCTGATGTGTGGGTTCCTCTGGGGGGTAAATTTTCGGGGCTGGGTCACATGCTTGTCAGGTGCGTGTTTGCTGTGCTCGCACGGCCGCGCTTTCCAGTGCTACCAGTGCTACCAGGAGGAGGAGGAGGAGGAGGAGGAGGAGGAGGAGGAGGAGGAGAAGGATGAGGATGAGGAGGAAGAGTAAGGAGGAGGGGGATAGCGACGAGGAGGAGACGAGATGTACAGTAGAAGACGAGGGGGGAGAGAGGAGGGATGGAGGACGACGGCGGAGGAGGAAGAAAGAGGGCGAGGAAGAGGAAGACGAAGGTGGCCGAGGAGGATGAGGAGGAGGGGGGAGTGATGAGGAGCGAGAAGGAGCAGGCGGAGGAGGAGGAGGAGGAGGACGGCGACACCGATGAAGAGAATGCGGATGGGACGGACATGGATAACGCACACGAGGGCAAGGACAAGGAGGAATGAGGAGGGAGATGAAGACGAGGTGGGGTGGGATGAAGGACGTGGATAAGGAAGAACAGGAAGAGAAAGCAGGAGGAGGAGGAGGAGGACGAGGAGAAGGGGGAGGAGGAGGAGGAAGAGGAGGGTGAGAAGGAGAATGAACAGGTCTCCCTTCGGGCTGCAGGGTCCAAGCCTCACAGGGTGGGAGCTGTGAAAGTCGGTCAGCAGGTTGTATTTTGCTGCGCCTCGTCTGCCTCCATTCGCGTGGTGGTGTCACTGGCAGGCGAGTGCAAACCTTTACCGTTGCGGAAGGATCGTAAGTTGATCTTCGATCGCCTCGGGAGAGGAGAATTCAAGCTTGGGGTTCGAGTGCAGGCTGTCTCAGGCTACAGCCTGCCCCCCCTGGCTCAGGATACTCCTGTATTTTTCTGTTCTCTTAGATACTGCTTTTGATCTAGCTGCAGCGGTCGCCTTCTCCTTGGGCTGAGTTGCAGCTCTTGTCGAGCATGCAGTGGCGAAAGTGGCCCGATCAAAAGGAAGTGTTCCACCTTTCACTGCTCTGCCTGTGGTGGACAGTTCCTGTCCGCCCCAGTGCCGTGCCCAGGAGGAGGACAGAGGAGGAGGAGGAAGAGGACGACGAGGACGACGAGGACGAGGACGAGGAGGAGAAGGAGGAGGAGGGGGAACTGGTAGGAAGATGACGAGGGGGTGCAAGGAGCTGCAGGGAGGAGGCATGGAAGGAGGAGAAGGGACGTAGAAGAAGGCCGGTGGTGGTGATGATGATGGTGGTGATGATGATGATGATGATGATGATGGTGGTGATGATGATGATGATGGTGATGGTGACGTTGCTGTTGGTGATGCTGGTGATGATGGTCATGGTGGTGATGATGATGACTGTGATGATGATGGTGTTGATGGTGACGGTGATGGTGATGATGATGGTGAGGAGGAGGAGGAGGAGAAGGAGAAGGAGGAGCAGGAGGAATTGACGGGAGCAGCCTGCCAATGATCTATTGCACTCGTTGTGGGGGTTACAGCATGGGGAGGGGCACCAAGCTCCAACAGCCATGCCGTAGTGAAGACCACCGCAGGCGCCAGATGGCGTCAGCATCCGAGGGGCTCTCTTGCACCTGGTCCCCCCCGGGTCAGCAGTGAGCTACGAAAGCTACAGTGGGGTGAAGTGCCGTGGACCGCCTTCACTTTCTCAAGAGTCACCCACTTGGGGTGATGATTAACGGTCTGAACGTCCAGATGTGGATAAGGTCCCCTGAGTAGGACACAGGGGACGAGGATCAGGAGGAGGAGGATGAGGAGGTAGGGGCCCAGGCGGTGGAGGAGGCGGGGGAGGAGGAAGGGAAGGATGGAGGCAAGGAGGGAGGAGTAGGGAGGGAGGCAGGTGGGGGTGGGAGGAGGAGGAGGAGAAGAAAGAGCAGGGATGATGATGATGATGATGATGATGATGATGATGATGATGATGGTGATGATGGTGATGGTGATTGTGATGGTGATGGTGATGCTGATGATGACGATGCTGGTGATGAAGATGATGATGGTGCTGATGACGATGCTGCTGCTGATGATGATGATGTTGATGATGATGATGATGCTAATGGTTGTGGTGGTGATACTGATGATGGTGATGATGGTGATGATGGTAATGATGATGATGATGATGATGGTGATGGTGATGATGATGATGATGATGATGATGATGATGATGATGATGATGATGATGATGGAGAGGTGGGGAGGAGGAGGAGAGAGGAAAAGTGAGGCTTTGACAGACTAAGTCAGATCATGGTGTTGCTATCCCGATCCCACCCTCGAACCGCCACGAACGCCATTACGAACCCAAGAATCAACGGGCGGGGACGCAAGGCATTCTGCCACTGCGCTTGCCATCGCCCGCGCGCGTAGCACTGTGCTCACCACGTCGTGCTCATCGCGTTTGAGGGCAACAATATTGCAACATGACAGCATGTAAGGGCCATGATAAACTAAAATGAGCGGTCATGCATGCGGCATGAAAAAAGCTACACCCCCATTTCTTGTAACGCAGGTAAAACATACAATTCGGATTTACACTTACCGCGTCACACGATGTACGTGGTGACGGTTCCAGATTGCCACGGCACCCGCCTCCACCACGAGGCCTGGTTGATCCTCTGCCACCAGCCAATCGCACACGGCGAGGAAGCCTTCTCAGCATCACCGCCGCCATTAACAGCGCTTGCGGTGGACAGACTGTCGCGGCCCCGCGAACGGGCCGAAGGCGGCCGCCTGGAGTTTCAATGCGCCAACAGTCAACAGCCAAGGGGCACGCGGCAGTGCCGACGCCGAAGAGTTGGATGCGTAGACTCAGGTTTGCCGTTGCCGTCGCCGAACAAGTCCAGGGCCGCGAGATGCGTGCCACAGTTCAGAGAGCCACTATCCGCCACAGTTCCGTGTCGTCAAACTTGACAGGCACATGTACAGCGGTCCTCGGCGCAAGGATGATCCCGCGAAACCCGGAGCACGCAGCAGTTTCAGCTTCAATTCGAGTTCGAGGAATCAGGTGTTCACTCGTCGCGCACCGCTCGGACTGGGCGGCGCAAGCGCGATCTCATCTGCTGACCGCTCGGTTGCAGCCGAATGTAACACTCCTCGGCATGGTTCGACGCATGCCCCCCAGATGGCAGGTTGGACCGACGGCTCATCGCGGCGGCAGGCGCCTGCGCCGAGGCCCCACCTTGGCCCGCAAGTCGTCATGTCGGAGCCTCCTGTTGGCCGTCCTGCTGCGCGGCCAGGCGAAGGGGGGCCGCGCCTCCACTTCTTCTACGCGGAAAAGCTCTACGCGGTCACTTGCGCGGTCCACGTGCTGGCGGGATTGGCGAAGGCCCGGCCAGAGGGGGCGATGCCCGTGTCGCAGTGGAGAGCAAGGGGCTACCACCACAGCGCACATGGGTCGGAGCCGAGTCTGCGTCGGGCTGAAGCGAGTTTCTTCGAGCACGACGCAGAGGAGGGCCGAGGAGGGCGCCATCGAGTCATAACGCTAAGTCCTGAGGAAGGCCCCACGAGAGGGGACACCTCAGGCACGCAGTCGCCACGCAGAGCTGGGCAGAGCCCTGGGGAAGCCCCCAGAGAGGGGGGCACTTCGGGCGCTCGACAGGCAGAGCTGGCCATGCACAGGTTGGCGTCGACGAGGAGTCGTTGCGAGGAGTCAGGGCGAACCTCGCCGAGAGCTGGGCGGACGCTGTCAACGACCCACATGGGGGCGCGGCGAAGAACGCCGACGCTCTCCGCCAAGACAGCAAGCGGGACGGCACCTGCGACGGGGCATCATCCGTCGACGGCTTGGACGACGAGACAGCCGAGGCGCCCGCCGCCGCTGGAAGGGGCGGCGCGGGCGGGGCCCTCGGCAGCCAGGGGCGGCGGCGCGTTGGCTGGGGCGGGGTGGGGGGCAGCTCGCCGAGCAACCTGGCGCCCTTTCCCCATGCCAGCGGCAGCCGCGCAACCGCCCCAGGCGGCGGTGGAATGTCCGGGAGTCGTCGGAGGCGGCGCGAGGCACAGACGCGCCGTCGCAGCGCCGCAGGCAGCGCGGCGAGGAGCTGGACGAGTCGGCGGCCACGCTGGACAAGCTCAACGGGAGGTTCACGGCGCTTGTGGAGGAGGACCTGGCTGGCCCTGGCTGGCCGGTTCGACTGGTCGGATGAGGGGCGAGCCCGCCACGCTGGAAGAGGAGTGGCCCCAAAGTTCGCGCAGCAGGAGGTCAGCGTTGACGAGCGCTGGTCTTGCGCTAGAGGCTGCCCGCAGGCCCAGACGTGGAGGAGAATCGGCATCGCCATTTTGTAGATGCTTGGAAGTCGGAGGAGGTTCCGACAGCTGCGCCTCGCCCCGAAGGAGCTGGCGACGCCGGCAGCGCTGCGGGCCATGCTAGGGGGGCTGGCCCGACAAGACCTGGCGGGCGACATCGGGCTCGAGCCGAGGCAGACTGCCAACAGGCAGAAGGACCTGGCCTTAAAGCTGAGACGGCGGGGCAGCTCACCTTCCACGAGCGGCGCGCCCCGGGGGGCCACGCGCGCCGAGCGGCCCGAACCTCCGACGCGAGGGCAACCCAGGCTCGGACCGAGACCTGGCGAGGTTCGGCGCGAGCAGCGGTGCGAAACGGAAGAAGGGCAGCACGCGGCTTCTGTCGTGCCCCGCGGGGCTGGACGGCCGACGCGGCCGGGGGCGGTCAGCCCGCTGGAGCGGCGGAGGCCCTGAGGGCGCCCGCGCGGGAGTACCTGCAGGCGTGGCGCCATGGGGAGGCGAGCTTCAACATCGAGGAGATCTTGCTTGAGGAGCAGCTGGAAGCGGCCCCGAGGCCGCCGACGCCGCGGGAGATCTTGGACGCGGCGAGACTTCAAGAGAGCTGCAGCGGTGGGCATCGACAGCATCAATCCGCACCACTGCAGCTGGCGGTCCGAGCGCGGCCCCCCGGCCCTCAGCTCGCTGCTGCGCCTCATCGAGGTGGGGGCGGCCTTCTCGCGACAGATCACGGAGGTATTAATTTTCTTCCTAGCCAAGCCCGACGGGGGTAGGAGGCCGATCGGCTCAATTGCTTCGCAAGTCAGGCTGCCGGGGAAGACGAGGCACCAGGTGGCGACGAAGTGTGGGATGACCATTGACAAGCCGCGCGGGGCAGGCACGTCTCGCGAGGGCTCGGTCTGGCTCCAGAGCTTTGACGCGGACCACCCCCGAGCGCTGGGACCGGTCTCCACCCCCTCCCTTCTCGACCCGAGCAAGGCCTGCGAGAGGGTCGCCCACCGAGGGCTGGCGCGCGCAGCCGTCAGGGGGGGCTTCCCGCTGAGAAGGGCCCAGCTACGCGTGAGATTGCACGGCGGGGGGCGAAGGCTTTCTCGGACAGATGGAAGACGGAGGCTCTCCACGTGGACCTCTCCCTGCTGGCGGGCTGCTCCTTCGCCGCGACGCTCCTGGGAGTGGCGCCGGGTCCCGGTCCAGCTCCTGGATGCGTTGCTCAGAGCGCGCCAGGCGGCCAAGACCTACGCGGTCGTGGGCGACATCGCCCTCGCGGCCCGCGCCGAGAGAGCCCAGGCGGAGCGCGTGTGCTGGCGGGGGCCACGCGAATGTCCTGTCAAGCCTTGGAGGACATCGGCTTCGTGATCTCGGCGGCCAAGGGGCTGATCCTAGGCTCCGAGGGCGATGTTGCGCGCGGGGTGGAGCGGGGGCCGAAGAAGTGGCAGTTCCGACGCGCAGAGGCCACCGAGAACCTCGGCGTGGATTTCGCGATGGACAGGAGAGCGCCATGGGCGGCCCTGCGCAAGAGCATTGCCCGCTCGAAGCAGCGAGCCAGCCGCTGCATGCCCCTGAAGAAGGCGAGGGCCAGGAAGCTGTCCAACGTCTTCAGGGCGGGGGGCTGGCGCCAATCCCCCGCGGGGCGAGGGCCTGAGGGGCGCCGCCCCAGGCCCCCC